TCACAGAAGAGGTCAGTGTGGTGTGTCTGTTTTCAGATAATCACACAAGCCATCGGTGCTTGCTAGACTAGCACACAACTACCACAGTGAGGTTTTTACAACTCTTCCTTTCTCCCACTGAATGAAGGTTTAACAAGTGCCCCGGAACTCCAGATGAAGGAAGCAATCCTTTTAAACACATTAAGCTTTAAAGTCCCACTGGCTAGAGACAATTGGATTTGTACCTTGATTCTGAATGTGCAATGGCATTGACAAAGCATGGATTGAGGAAGGCTTTCAGATTCATTACAGTTGCTGGGTGGAAGAAGCAGAGGGGTAATTTCCACACAGAGCTTAAAAAGCACCTTCAAAGCAATTGCAGATCTCATTCCCACTTGATACATGACTGAAACAAAATTTTAGCTTCCACTGCAAGCCTTGAACAAGAAAAGAGATTTAAAGTCTAAGCTGGTACCTAGACTTAACCAGTCTTTGCTGATCACAGATTATAAATGAGACTTTCCTCTTGTAAAGAGGAAAGCCCCCCTCCTCATCTTGCAGATGCATGAGAGCTCAGCTGCGAACACACAGCAGGGATCAGTCTGACGAGTCCCAAATTACTTCCCACCGAAGCAGAGCTGCTGCTTTAGCAGGTTTTTTCTCCCCTTGGGTGCTTCCAGGAGATGGAGGCATGCTCATTTTCTCTGCCAAAGTGTGATACTCCGATTCCATCAGTGTTTTGATCAGTGTGTGTGAGCACACTGCAAAATCCCAAAGGGATGTGCCACCTGCTGACCAGTGTCCTGCCTCTGTGTCCCCAGGATGCTGGATGACTTCTCCCATGAGTTAGACAGCACTCAGTCGCGGCTTGATAACGTCATGAAGAAGCTCGCCAAAGTGTCTCACATGACGAGCGGTAGGTCCTGGGAAGTGGGATCCAGTCCTGGAAAGGCAGGGATAAGCCCTCAGATCTTCAGACTGGGACACTGTGTGCTCCCACCCACCCAGCAGAGGGGAGGGAGCAGCTCTCAGTGTTTAACCAGGGGGAAGACTTCCAAGCCCAGCAGCTGCCTTTGTTTTATTTACAGATGCCTTTCTATTTATGCCGCTACTGCTGGGAAAATCCCCTTCTAGCTGGTAGGAGGGGAAGTCCTGAAGCCTCCTGCTCTGCTGCAGTTTCCCGTGCTGCCTGTGGAACAAAAGCTGTCAAGGTGCCATTAAGCCTGGTCACTGTGTGTGGCTTCCCCCACACCAGAATGCCTGCAGCAAGCCCCTTCCCAAATCCCACCTGCCCTTGGGCTGCTGGCACCTGCAGGTCTGTGGTCAATCAGATCTCTCTCAGGTGGTGGAGGAAAGGGCTGAATTCTGTGCTGAACCCACAGAAAAGTCCTTATAAGGCTGTGCCTGAAGCTGGTGGGCTGGCAGGGCTCCACAGGCAGAGCAAACAGGAAGCCCGGCATGCCTGCCGGGAAGTCCCCTGCTGCCAGCTCCCCTCTCCCAGCGCTGGCGGAGCGCCTGGCGTCACCTCCTCCAGTACCCCTCTCCTGTGACTGCTCAGGTACCTTGTGAAGGCAGCAGCCAACCAGGAGGAAAAATCCTGCTCTGCAGGATTAGGCTGTCTGGGGGATTTATGAGGTGGTGGGAATACAGCCCTAGAGAGACCACGTGGAGTGCTGACAGCACACTTTGGGTCACCAGTAGCCCAGCAGCAGCACAACCACTGGCAAACCCTGTGTATCTGCCTGCCCTTTCCGCTGGGAAAACCCATGAATCATTGCAGAGTGTTTCTGAGTGTTGTGAAAAGAGCATTTCTGCTGGCATCTGATGTACCAGGGCCGACTAGGAGGGCTCTTCCCAGCATAGCTGCTGAGCCCAGGAGTTGGGAAATGCCAGCAGCCCTGTTCCCACTGCTGCACCATTGTATCAGAGGGGCAGACAGCAGCTCTCAGAGACAATACAGTGTTGAGGCAATGAAGTGTAAAGATGTCCAGGGAAACCTTATTCCTGGCCCTCTCCTAAGGGGAGCTGCCACAAGCTCTTCCTGACAGGCAGCTTTCACCAGATCCCTTTTTGTTCCTCTAGCAAACAGAATTCTCCACGAATTGAACAGCGAACACAGCAGCTCTCTGCTTGTTTCTTCCAATTGCTTGTGAGTCAGCTTATCAAATCTATTTGAACTTGGTTGGGGAGAAGGCTTAGAATTCTCACAGCTGTTCCCAAAACCCGAAGGATCGTGGAGGAGAAGGGCTGTGGCACTGTATGTTGCAGTGAGGCATGCTCCCATAGGAACTTCTGTTTTGGCTTGTTATGGCTTTAAGCTTCCTGTGGCTTTGAGCTCCTACCGGTACAACAAAGGAAAGTGCTTCCTCAATTTTCCTTTCTCACTATAGCAGGAAGACTGATGCTTCTGTTTCCTTCCAGATCGACGCCAGTGGTGTGCAATAATCGTACTCTTCATCATCTTGCTGGTGGTGCTCATCTTGTTCCTTGTCCTGTGATGGACTGAACTTCCTCGGACACCCCCTCCCCACCCCTTCACCCCGTCAGCACGGGGAAATGAAATTCTCACTGTTTCCGTCCGCCCCCAGAGATCCCTGGCAAGAAAACCTGCACCCAGCTCTCACCATCCTCCTCCGAGGACTGTGGCTCGGCTTTGCCTGTGTCTCACGTGGCCCTGGGGAGAGGGGCTGGAGGACTGGAGCTGCCTCCTCCCCTGGTGTAGTGTGACCTGGACCTGAGCTCCAGGTCTGGACCTGGGGAGCTGGAGGGGGACTTGAGCCCTCCACTTCCTCCCGGTGCAGGTAGGAGCTGGTCATGGCGGTCCAGAGCTGCCTGCGGTGGAATGCGGACACAGAACAGTGAGCCCTGGGGAGGACGGGACAGGGAGGAGAAATTAATGAATTCACTGAGCATTGCAAACCGCACCGCCAGTGCCAGCCACGAGCGCTACTGGGTGGCATGAGACCCCACAAGCTGCAGCGAGGGAGGGGAGCCCCAGCCGCCCTCCCCCTGCCCCACGCTGCCTCCCTCCTGCCGCCTGCTCTGTGCCGCCGACTCACTGCCCAGAGAGCACAGTGAGTCCTCAGCAGAGCCTTCCCACCCTCCAAATCTGGGCAGAAGGCAAAGCCAGAGGGTCTCATGTCCTGCTATCAGCCACCCGGGCACCATTAGACATCCCAGAGCTTTAAACTTGGGTTGCTGCACGCCAAGGACTGGTAATCAGCTGTGAGCCAGAGAGGGAGTGTAGTAAAGCTTTTAAAATTGCCTCCCTCATTATACAGCCTCTGAAGCTCATTGACTGATGCTTTCCTTGCCCTTGTATAACTGAGTCACTGCTTCTGTTTAACAGCTGCTTCCCTTTGGCAAGTGATTTGTCAGGTCTAAAATAACTTATTTTTTTAAGGAAAAGAAAAAAACTCTGAAGATTTTTTTTGATAACAGAGTCACGTTCTCTCTGCAGGTGCATGATATGCATGATCAGAGAAACAGTGCTCAATGATGTATTTTAAGTGCATGGGAACTTGTAAATAGGTTTTCTTAATTTTTCCCAACCATTATTTTTTGGACACCTCCATTTTAAGCAACCGAAAGGCAGGAGATTCAAAGCTATATCATGTTCCCATATTCCTTCCCAATCCTTTTGTTACCTTCAAGTTTGTCACTTGAGTTGTCTCAGCAGTGTCAGGTAGCTGAGTTGTCTCCCTTGTACAATGAATTTGGAGTAGCCAGGTGGGTAATACCAAACTGGTGAAGAAAGCTCACCTGGGCAGTGTCACTGGGGAGGAACAGGCAGGCAGGGGGGTCATGCTGCAAGCACTGATCATGAGATGTGGGGTGACGCTTCAGGAAAGCAAAAATGGTTTCTTACTCCACTCTGCTCCCATATTAAAGCTGCAAACATGAAAAGACTCGGGACAGGTTGGCTTATGGCTCCCAGATGGGCTGGGGGAGGAAGTTAATTGGCACTGACGCAAAGACTTCTGCTGAAATTGCAAATTGCCCCAAAATCATCCTCTCAGCCTTGGAAGCTTGCCACCGGATGTCTTTACCTCTGGGACTGAACACTCCTCCCCACCAGGTTTGTGGCTCCCTCCAAGGTCTGTATGCCCCCCATCCCTGCCGCTGGATGCACAGCCGGCAGCATCGTGCCTTCCACAGCCAGGTGCCAGATGGGGGCCCAGCTGAGCCTCCCTGTGCCCACCCAGGTGCTCTCACTGTTAATGCATATGTGGTGCCCTCGATGCCCACCTGCACTCCTCATTTCACAGTGGCTCCTTATCCTTGCAGAGCGTTCTGTTTCCTTTGGTTACGCTGCAAGGAGTAGGTGGTGTCTGCTTTCCAAGGCTAACTGTCATAGCGTCTGCGCTGCTCTCCTCGGGCTTATAGCTCTCCAAGAGCAGGTTCCTGGGAGCATGAGTCTGGCCAGGGAGCAGGGCTTGCTGCCGGATGGTGTTTGCACACCTCCAATCCCTGCATTGTTGTTGGCACGGTTGTGCATCCTCCAGGAACGACTCCTGTGCAGGACTGCTCCTTCAGTAGTTCAGGGGGTGGCCCAGTTGCTGGAATCACCGCACGCCACCCGACTGTCTCTGGTCCCTTTTCCTGTGTACATTTGCTTTTCTGTCGCTGGTGGTGCCCCTCCTGTTAACACTAAATAAAGGTGCAGCAAGTGCAGATCTCTGGTCCTTCTCACCTGACTCTTGCTCCAGGACAAGCAGAGGGTCTCCTAGCACCAGGGAGCGGGGAAAACTCCCACCAGCATATGCTGGTTATCACCCCCAGATGTGGGGCAGCACCATGCAGAGGGCAGCCATTGCTGCCATGCCACCTCTCTCTGCTGGAGAGACACATTTGGCACAAGTTTCCCCTTAATGTGGCTAGAAAAAAGAAACTCTCCAAGGCTGAGGTCCTCCCCACCCCCAGCAGTGCCATGGGGAAACAGGCGGCAAAGACTACCCCCCTGCCTGTGCCAGCAAGCACCACCCCAGCCCCTCCATGCCAGCTGCAAGCCAAGGGCAGTATTTCATTATTCCAGAGATATATTTTTGGGTTTCAGTTTAAAATAATTTAAAAGAACCTCACCAGCCTGTGAGTGCATGTTGGCAGTGCTGGCAGGGAGCCCCATGTCTCCTGGGATCACAGAGATGGGGCATCCCCACACTGGTCACCCCAGTGCCCAACAGGACAGACCTGCCTGGCTCTGTCAGGGCTGGGCTGTTCCCTGTTCCCACATTAGGGGCAGCTTCTGGAGACATCAGACACTGTCTGGGGGGGGTCCTTGATTCCTGTCTGTCTCCAGGAGGTGGGGGCTGGGAAAGCCACCTGCCCCCATTGCAGCAGTGAGCCAAGTACTGCACTTGGAGCAGGGCAGGCCCTGGCGCCACGAGGCAACCTCGTCCATCCTGTGCCATCCTGCAGCATCCTGGGACTTCGTTGGGATCTCCTCCTCCTCACGCTGGCCATTGCAGAAGCCATGCTGGGGCTACCGTGGTAGCGGGCGGTGGCGGAGCACCCGAAGGGAGAGGGTGTCCGCCTGGAGCAGCATCTCACGGATGCGGGGCAGCCCCAGCCCCGACACAGCCGCGCCGTTGACCTGCAGGATCTCATCCCCCACGCCCAGGAGCCCCGCGTACAGCTTGGCCGTGCCAGCATCTGCCATCTCCTGCACGTACACACCTGTGGAGAGGGACCTGTGGGGGGCAGGCCGGGGGTCTCACCCACCCTGTCCACCACAGCCTGGGTGCCCAGGGGCTGCACAGTCACTGACTCGTGATTAACGGCCTTTGGGACAGGCTGCATGTCCCAAGCCAAGGACTTATGGACACATGAGATTGTGCACGGCTGAAGCCACACGTGGCAACATCCCCCCATCCACTGCCACTCCTCTAGGGCTCAGTGGGGATGAAGCAGCCCCCTCCACCCATCTCCAGGCTCACTCCTGCGGAGGAACGAGAGCCACCATGGAGGGACTGTGTGTGCAGTGCCAAAGCTTTGGGATGATCCCTCCATACCTGTGTCAGGCCGGCCATAGCCGGAGGTGACAGAGAACCCGAAGGCACTGTTGGGGGGTCGCTGCAGCTCCAGCTGGCTGGTGCCATCAGGGAACACCTCCACCACATGTCCCACCGCGCGTAGCTGGCTGGGTGCCCCGATGTCCTCCACGCTCAGCGAGCGCCACAGCTCTGAGCCCCCCTTCCTATGGGGAGAGGGGAGCTGGGGTGAACGAGGATGCAGGAAGCTTCTGGGGACCACCACATGTGGCTCAGCACCCCTGAACAGCCTTCCTGGGCACAGTGGGGATGTGCTAGGCCGCATCCTACCTGTCAGCCGTGGTCTGGAGCGGGAGGTAGGCGCTGGCACGGGGTGCCTTGCCCAGGAGGGGATGCAGGCTCTGGATAGAGGAGGCTTTTTGGGGCTGGCAGAAGGGTGACACCTGGGGAAAAGCACCTGGCTGAGATAAGGACAGTCACACTCACTGCAGTGCTTCACCCACCGATGTGCTGAAGGAGGAGGGGCATCCCACCCCCTTGGAGCACTCCACAAACCACCGCTGAGGAGGGAGGAGCCAGTGTCCCCAGCCTGGGCCAGGACACCCACCTGAGGAGCAGCATTTCCTGGGGAGGCACCTTCCTGCTCACCTGGCTGGGTCACATGACCCATGACCTCACTACCCCCCAACTCCCCTCCCCAAATCTGCTCTTTCACACTCCCACGCATTCCCTCCTTCCCCCTTGCACTCCCCTGTTAGCTCCCACCTTTTCAAACCCAGTAGGTTTGGCACATGCCCCCACACCCCACCAGGACCACCATGCCCCGGCATGCTCCACCCCAGCCTAGCACCCTCTCTCTTGCAGGATGCCCATCTTCCCACGGACACACCCTGGGTGGGGTGATGTCCAAGCTCACCAGCTGCAGGGACTGCAGGGAGGGTGACTTCTTCATGCCAGGGCCCCCTCGGGGGGAGCCACTGGGGGCCGGGAGCTGCTCCATGCTGTAGCAGCGGAAGCGGCCCAGGCGCTCCTTGGTGCTCTGGCTCAGGCTGCACAGAAGCTTCTTCAGCCCCAGTGACGAAGCACTGCTGCCCTTGCGGCTCGCTGGCCGGCCCGGCTCCCTGGGTGGAGAGGGATGATGGTCATCCACCATGTGTCTCTCTGGGAGACAGCAGGACTGGCAGCTGCCTCAGGGCTGGAGGCACATCCTGCACCGGCCTCTGCAGCCTTGAGAGCCAAAATTGAGGTGCATGCTGAGATCAGGGTGCAGCCACCTCCCCACAGCAGTGACCCAGCATGCACAGGTTTGTCACCATCTGAAGCAATCCCTCCCTGTTTTCCCCATAATTTCAAGGGTTTAACATCTCTCGGACCTCCCCTGCTCTCTGCCCCAAGAGATCACATCCTGCCAAGGGGCTCAAAGGACCCAGCACCACCTCCAAACCCTACTGCCAGGCTGAGACACACAGTGCCAGGCACAGGGCCAGCAGGATCACTCTTGAGGAACCCCAAGGCAGCTGATCTTCCCCAAAGAGGAGAATGTGACGCTGAACAAAACACCTCCGTCACATTTGCTGTAATATCCTCATCAGAACCAGATGTGGAGCAAAAACGCAGCTCCCCCAAACCCATGCTAACACACTCCCAAACCCACACCCATACATGGGCCCACTGTCACCCTCATATTGTGGTTTCTGGGAGATTTTGGGGGCTGAAGGGTCAAGTCCCACTGGGAAACCTCAGGGGACTCAGCCTGGTAGCATCCTGCAGTGCCCAGGAGTGATGCTTGGGTTTGCACAGCACAGAATGCTGTGACCCCTCACACTCACCCATGTGCTGTGCTCCCAGCCGGGCACCACTGCTGCTGCTGCTGCCGCCCTCCAGGTGTCCCAGCACCTTCTCCAGGGGGACGAGCAGCCTCCTGGGGTATAGGGGTGGCAGGGCCGGTGGTGGGGTGTGACGCTGCCCCTGTAACCACAGCGAGAGTCATGTGCCAGTTTTGTTGGGGACACCCCCAGCACCTCCTACACGGGTCTCTTACCTCTGGCTGTCCCCGGGGCATCCTGCCCATGGGTGTTGTTGCAGTTGTTGGTGGATAAGGCACGGAGGGGGCTCCCTGGGAGCCATCTGGGGCTGCAGGGACTTTTCTGCCCCTCTGTGCCCCCAGGCTGGGGGGAGGCAGCTCTGCCAGTATCCAGCTCTGGGCCTCGGGATCCTTGGTTCGATGCACGGCGGCTGCCACTGGAGAAGAGGGCTTTCCTACAAGGCACCTGGGAGCAGGTCTTCTTGGTGGGGGGGGGAGCAGGGAGGTGGGTGCCTGGAATGGATGTGCTGGTCCTCAGCTGAGAGGAAGGGTCCAGGGGCTCACTGGGTTGCTGTGGGGGATGAGTGGTGCTCCCTGCCCCTTTGCTGTCCCCCAGATACCGATGTGGTTCTGCATCCTCCTGGCTACTGGCTCTCCCCGGCGGCAGGGGGCAAACAGCTCCCACTTGGTTTGTGGCACCACCTAAGCTCCCCCTGTCCTCTGCCCGGGGGCCACCGCTGGCCACACACGTCCCCTTCCTAGCCCTCATCTCCGGCGGTGGGGTGGCACGGGGGGCTCTGTGCCCGCGAGTCCGGGGGTCTCGGTGCCCCCGCAGGTGGGAGCTGCGGGGTCCCGCCTCCTCACTGTCCGTCCGGCAGCCGTCAGAGGTGTCGGTGCTCTCCAGGGCCGAGTCCACCTCGTCGATGTAGGTGACGTCCCCGATGTACGTCTCCTTGATCTTCTCGGTGTGGATGCGCTGCCGGGAGGGGAGGATCCACAGTGGGGACCCTCCGGGGCCCAGGGGCCTGATTTTGGGCTCCGTCTGGGCAGCGCTCGGCCCCTTGCTATCCCTCGGGATGCTTCTTTGTGCCGCAGGGCTGCTTTTGGCCACGTTGGTGGCAGCTTGTGCGTCCGTGCCCCGGCTGACGGCAGCACCGAGGAAGGAACCGCAGGCGCTGCACTTGCCCCCGGCCACGAGGTCGCCGCTCCGGGCTCTGGGCTGGCCGGCCCCGTCCCCCGGCTGCCTGCTGCCGGCCGCCTCCGGGGAGGAGAGCGCCGAGCCCAGCGCCCGCCGGTGCCGCAGCTGCAGCCGCTCCAGGTACCGCACCTCGGCGTCGCGGGCCGACTCGTCCTCGAAGCGGACGCGGGATGGGGACGGTCCCCGCGGCCGCCGCGGCCGCCCGCAGCTCGACTCCCCGCTGGACGAGTCACTCAGGCTCCCGCCGTCCCGCAAGGCAACGCTCGGCCTTCCGCTGGGCTCTCTACGGTGGGGACAGACAGACGGACACGGGCAAGCTGCGAGGGCTGCCCGGGTCCCTCGGGAAAGCAGGGCAGGAGGGGAAAAACCCAGGGCAGAGATGAGGCAAGGAGGAAACTGCACCCGGTGCTCCCTGGCTGTGTATAGCCCTGCTCCCCCATCCAGCCTAAAGCTGGAATCTAGAGAGGCTGCGGCACTATCCCGCTGCCACAGCCCAACCTCCATCACCCTCCCCCTGACCCGAGGCGTGCGGTTAATCATTCCAGGAACACCACATTGCACATGATCTAGCACACACGGCGAGGTGCCGCTTTGGTCCAGCCTCCAGCAGTGAGTCTGCCCTGGGAAAACACACCCCATCAGCTGGGAGACGCCATCCTCCTGCCATTAATGCCTCCGTGTGACCGTAAAACAGCATTTAATTAAACACCCCCCAAATACTGTGCTGCAAAGAGGTCAGGTAGAAAATGCTCCTGCATCCAGGGTAAGAGGCTGCATGGAACACACAGTGGGTCAAACCCCTGGCTCCACATGCATGACTGAGCATATGTGTGCACTCCACACACACAGCTGCATCTCTGTGTGTGTCCCAAACCCAGCTGCAGCCCTGGGAACTCCATGGAGAAGGCAGGGGAGGGGCAGGTGGAGTGGTGGTACTGACCTGGGGTGCGGGAGGGCGGTGGGGAGGAAGATGTCGTGGCTGGCACGCAGGGGGTTCATCTGAGCCTTCATGCGGGCGCGCTGCAGCAGCTGCTTGGCCTGCTCATGCCGCGGACTCAGCTCGAGCTCCTGCCCAGGGACAAAGGCCCTGTGGCCCCCCAGCGGGGAGGGGGATTAGGAAAAAATAACAGGGATTAGACGTGGTTTAACAGTGACGACAAGGCTGCTCTGCCCAGGGAAAACGGGGCTCAGCCACCATTCGTGGGCAGGCTGGCAGTCGTGCCGGGAGATGCCCCAGCAGACGCCCTGTCTCCCCCCAGTGACAGGTGATGTTTTGGGGGAAGGCTCAGCACCCACAGCTTGGGCATGGGCAGCACTTTATGCCATGGACATCAAAGAGATGGACAGGGAAACTGAGGCAGGCGCTGCTTCCCATCTCCACTGCTGTATATCCCGCAGTGATGGGGAGGCAGGTAGGTTTGGGATGACCCCCCCTGACCCAGCTGCCTTCTCTTCCTTGCAGGGGGTCTTCCCCTGCACTCCCAGTCCTGCCAGCTGCAGGGTGGAGGGCCTATGAGCTCTCTCTGCTCCAACACGGCCTTCCTGGTTGGCCATGGCCCTAATCCTCCTGATTAAAATAATCAGCTCAGGCAGCTGCTTTGGGAAGACCAGCCTTAACCTCTTCAGGGCAGGTGGGTGGGCACACACTAGCCTGTCTGTGCAGCACCATGGGGAGTCCAAACTCCCCCAGAGTTTGGCTGCCCCTACTCCCTGGCTCTACCTTGCACCCCCCTGTCACTGATCCAGCCACCTGAGAGGAATAGAACCACCATCCTAGGGGCCTCTCCCCACTCAGTCTCTTCCTTCAGGCAGCCCCCAGCCTCTTATGCTGCTGCCCAGCTCACCTGCCCATCCCACCTCCTTATTTTTAGTCCATACCTCAAAGGTTTATCATTAGTTCAACAAGATTACACATGCCTGCCCACCTCAATCTTCTTAAGCACCTGGAGCAAATTTCTGTCCCATCATCTTCCCGAGCTCCCTTCCCTCCCAGGGGTCCTGGCTGGGGTCCCCTGCACTCAGGCACCTCATGAAAATCCAGATCCTGCCCCAGCTTGCTCTGAAGCATTGCTAGAGCCCGGCCACGCTCCTCCACCAGCTGCCATGCCGGGGGGCTGCCCCACAGCCCTTCCCCAGAGCTGCTTCATGGGATGTATTTAAAACACAAGAGGGAAAGAGGGAAACCTCCATCTCTACCATGCTGGGATTGACCTACCTGCAGCCCTCAGTGTCCTGCAGTGAGACCCCCGAGTCCCAGTCGCCGTCACTAGCCGGCATCTCTGAAATGCAAGACAGAGAAAGGCATTGGCCTGGTTGGATGGCAGCCCCCATCCTGGCCCCTCTGGATAGCACCCCTTGCTTACCCCATCTCAACACCCTCTGCAGAAGTGCAGGATATGGGGCAACAGCACGTGGCATTGAGTGGGACTGTTGGGGGGGGACCATGGGGTCATTGGTGAAGATGCTGTCAAAAGAGAAATTAATTCCCTTTTCTGGTGGCAGCTTCCTAAGGGACAGTGATGCCCACAGAGGGCTCCAAAAGTGGGTTTCTTGCTCTCAGCAGTGAAATTCTTCACCAGAAAGGGACTGTCAGCACCCAGAACATCTTGTTGGTATCTCCTACATCCCAATAAAGGGGATGGGGCAGGGATGTGAATGGTGTTGCATCCACACAGTGGAAGCCTGGAGGATGCCAAGGAGAACCTCACTTTGCCCCAAAGCTTTTCCTTCCCACACCCCCCAACTCTCCTGAAACGGCTGCCACCTTCCCAAAATACACACCAGGAGCAGCAAGGCCCAGCACCTCCTGCAGCAGCTGCCGGTTCCTCTCTACCCGCTCGGACAACGAGAGCCTCTCCCAGCCCTCTGCTGCAGGGCGGGACACAGAGGGACCCCTCTGGTCCCATGGCGGGGTCCGTGCCTCTTCATCCAAGAAGTGTCTCTCATGGAGGGAGGCAGAGCACCGGGACCTGCTGTCCTTGTCCTGTAGGAGCTCAGTGCCTCCCAGCATATCTCTCCTGTGTGCCGGCACCCGCCAGAGCCCTGGGGTGCCAGGGCAGGGTGCTGGGGGGCTACCATCCACAGGCTCCCCACCATCCAGCAGCCCATCTGTCAGGTAGGTTCGTAGTTGAGTCTGTGGCTCCACCCCTGGCTTCCCCCGCCAGGGCCGGGGTTTCTTGGGCGAGGGGCGCTCAGGGGTGGCTGCAGGGGTCCCTGGCCTGCCGCCACCCCGCTTCTCCTTCAGCGCCTTCACCTTACTCTCCAGGACGGTGTGAGGGCCATGGATGGCCTCAGGGCACTCCAGCAGGACAGGGGTCCGGCTGCCACTCTGGCTGTGCTGCTTGGGGGGTCGCGGTACACACCATGCCTCAGCGGGAGAGCTCCCCTCCATGAGTCCTGCGGAGAGAAAACCCAGTGGAGGATGAGTGAGTGACTCCCACACCGCCCTCGCCCTCCCCAGCACCCCATCTGGTGCCTCCACAAAGGGCATCACTCTGCCTGCCCCAGGCTCTGCAGAGATGGGGATACCTGTGCTGGGGGGAAAATGTGTGCAATGGCACCAGAGTGTGCTTGGCGAAGAAGGGGATGGGGAGGTGGCACAGCACGAGGCCACCCAGCCAGCCACCCACCCAGAGCACTGACACCGTGCCAACACTGCTGGGGAGGGGGAAGGGAACGGGAAGGCAGTGGGGGAGCAATGGGGAACAGTGGTTCCCCAAAGCAGGTGGCCAAAGTCTGAGTTGCAGTAGGGGTGCCTGCCCACGAAAGATGCCCCGAAGGGAACTGGCACTTTCTGGGTCAAACCGGGGCCCCAAAACTCCCCAGAACAGAAATCCCTCACGGCTACAACTCGCTTCAGCGAGTGCCACCAGACAGACGCCACACTCTGCTCCACCCCGGCCCCCGGAGTCACACGTGGCACTAGTCCTGCGCCGGCCTCGTAGTCCCGGTGGTGGCACCCAGGTGCCACTGCCCTCCTGCGCCCCACCAGGAGCGTCCTGTCCCTACTGGAACCCCTAGAGGTGCCCTCCCCGCGGTCGGGACTGAAGGAGCATCCCCGTGACATCCCCCAGGGCCCCATCGCCCCCTGGCTCCCCGCAGCTCCGCGCTGAGTGCGACGGGGTAGTGAGCGGGAAGCGAGGGCTCTTCCTTACCCCCGGAGCAGTATCGGGAGAGGGCTGGAAGGAGGGAGAAGAACGCGGAAGAAAGGAAGGAAGCAGGGGAGGGAAAAAAAAGAATTTAAAAAAAAAAATTAATTAAAAAACTCCCAACGGACAAACCAGCAAATCCCGGCCCCTCCAGCAGAGCCCGAGCTCAGCCGCTTGGCTGGGCTTTGGGGCCGCCTCCTCCTCCTCCTCCTCTGCAAGGCATGGGGGGAGAGGAGCCGGGGCACTCGGCCAAACCCGGCCCGTCCCCGCTCCGGCGGCCTGGTGGCCCCGAAAGGCGATGTCACCGCGGCCACGCGATACGTCGGGGACAGAAAGGACGACCCAACACCCCGGGTTGCCACGGAGGGGACCCCACAGGAGGGGAATCCAACACCCCGGGACGGAGGCATCCCAGCTGCCTTGGCCCGCTCTCAGGAATGTCCTTTGTCTGGGCTGCGGGCTGGGGAGGCGGCGGGAGCAAAGCCAGCCCACCTCCCCGCGCGCTGGGTGGTGCCAAGGGGTCTGTCTGTCCCGCACTGGAGGCTGGGGCTTCCAGAAGCTCCAAAAAGATGGGGAGGGTGGTCCCGCTGGGTGGGGATTTTTTTTTCAACAACCTTCTCGAACAGCAAAGCCTGCCGGCTGCCGGCACCCTCCCGTGAGCATCACACCTTTGCAGCTGTGCTAAGCATTCTCTTTCCTGGAGGCCAAATCCTGCCTGGCCCCAGGGCGAGGCAGGACCAGCCGAGCCTCTCCAGGAAGGAGCACGGTGGGAGCCAAGCTCGATGCATCCACACATCGTCACCCCTAGATCCAGCATTTGACACACATGAGCTCCCCACGTTCCACCCTCCCCCCCCATGCCCCTTCCCTGAGACCCCTCTAGGCGGGATGAGGGTCCCGAGTGGGCAGTGCTTACCTGGAGGTGCCAGACCTGCCGTCCATGGGGGGCAGGAGGGGTGCTGTGGGGGCCATGGACATCCCGGCCCCACTCTGGCTGCTGCTTTAAGCTGTGGCTTCTGATATTCGTGATTGGTTTCATAATCCCGATCAAAAGGAAATCACCAGGATTATGAAATTGTTTTAATCCTCCTGGCTCTAGCCGTGCCGGCCCCTGCCAGCACGAGCAGCAAGAAATCACTCTTATCTTCTTAAAATGTCCTCAGCCACCCTGGTGGCCCTGGGGCCCCCCATCGTGGCCAAAAGTGAGAGCAAGGGCTTCCTCTCCCTATGGGAGTGACAGCCGGGATGACTCCTTGCTCCACAGACAGACCAAGCATCTTCCCTCAGCTGCTTCCAGGCACGAGGGGCTGGCTGACAGTTTTCTGTGGAAGAGCTGAAGGCACAGAGACCGTCCTCACCCTGCACCCCAGTGCTGGGGTGAAACCTCTCCCACAATGCCAGGACCAATCCTTACCTCCATGCCATTCTAGAAAGGGATCTCGGCTCTTGTGCCCGGGCTGAGGAGATGAAACACATCTGGGAGTTGTCCCCATCAAGCTGGGGACAAACCAACCTCCCGGTGAGGTGCCAAAGCAAGAGCAGGCAAACTCCTGCCACCAGCCAGGCAGTGCCACCAGCCAGGCAGAGCCACCAGCCAGGCAGAGCCACCAGCCAGGCAGAGCCAGCAGGGAGCTGCAGCCGGGATTAAACCTCTGGGAAGTGGCTGGTGAGAGCAGCAACAGGCTTACAGTAATTTCAAGGCACTGGGCTCCCTTCTGGAGGAAGATTGATTGCAAGAGACGATGAAGAGATTTAAGGAGCAAAATGAAGAGCAGAGACCCCAGACAACCCAGGGCTGAGCTGCTCAGCCTCTGGTCACCCACTGTGCTGGCAGGAAAACATCTTGGATTGAAGACAAGTTGGAGAGAGGTAACCAAAGGCTTCCAGAAGGACCAGGAGCCTTTGTCTGGTACAGCAAAGTCTGGGCAGGAGGTTTCCTCCAGCATCAGGCCCTGGCATGTTGTGTCTGAGCCCTGGGCACTTCCTGTAAGCCCCTCCTGCCCACCTCCAACCCCTCCTCAGACATCTCTCTCCTCCAAGCACCTCCACCTCCTCCCAGGAGATGGATGTTCCCCACTTCCAGCCACCAGTAACATCCCACAGCTCCCAAAGATGCAAGAGCAGCGTTGCCACAGAGCAGTGGGAGCCAATACTCCATGGGTGGATGCAGCACAGGGCTGGGACATGGGAAGACACATAGAGACCAGGGACAAAAGAGCCATCAGATCATTGGAAAACAAAGAGCTTGTAATAATGAAAAAAGGACAGATTTTGTAACCAATCACTTTTTCCTTTGAAAAAACACAATCACAGTAACTTTGCTTTATACAACCACCTAGAAACTATGAAACAGTATCACATTGTGCAGTTATTTTTTTTTTTAAAACCTACTTATCAAGAAGGGAATTTCACACTTTGAAAATTATATCCATTTGGGGGAGGAAGGAGGAGACAGCTAATAGCGCAGTCACAGATACATCATGAGTCCAAGCAAGCGGCAATTCTTTGTCCTCACCTTTTCCACTGAGCCAGAACAGAAGAGTGGAGAAGGGGATAGCAAAAGAGAAAGGAGGAGGGAAGAAAGAAAGCACCCACAGAGGACTAATCACACTCCATAATTACTTTTGACATCTACAGGGCTTCATAGAAAGATCATTTAGACCAACACAGCGGGGAACGGGAGGGGAAGGCGGCAGTGGGACCCAGGGGGAACTTCAGCGTTTCCACCCCGGGCCCCTTCCAATGCCGATCCTTCGCCGGGAGGACCTATGGGATGGAGAGGTCATCACAAGTTCTACCAGAATGCCGAATTTCTCCTCTGAAGAGTTTGCAATTTGGTTTCTAGAGCTTGAGGGACTGTCAGGCAGGGTCGGTGCCTCTTGCCCACCATGGCACAGCTGTGCCAGGGCCACAGCGGGCTCTGACTCCCACCAGGAACAGGGCTGGGGCATTGGCATCTGGGTACACCGAGGTTGCTGTCCCTTTCCTCTCCTTTCCTTGCAGCCTGAATGCTGCAGCAGGGACCAAAGAACCCCAGGGATGCTGACACACTGGTTTAACCCCGCAGTGGCAGGTGACAGCTCGCTCCAAGGTGCAGAATTTGGGATGGTGTCATGTAAAAGAGGCAAGGTTTGATGAGGTGACAGCCACTGAGCCCAGCCGTGACTGCTGCAGAGGTACTGTAGGGATTTTTCACTCTTCCCCCAGGAGCCCCAGCCCCTCTTTTCAAAGGAGACAAAACAATCTGATCGCCTTCTGGAATAAAAATATATATTTAAAAAAAAAAAAAAAAAAAAAAGCTTAAGGCAGAAGATCATCTTCCCCCTGCGAGTGCAAAGCAGAAGGGCAGAGGAGAGGAGGGAGGACATGGAGCCAGGATGCAGTGTGTGAGCAAAGGGACTTTTGTGTTCCCAACTGGAGCCAAGCCTTGTCCCAGTCACAGGACACATCCCAGTGTGATGGCCCAACATTGGGGACACAACGCCCAAAGCCTGGAGCACACACTGTGTCCCAGCAAGTGGTGCACAGCAGCATCCCTGCAGGACAAGGCCAAATCCACTCAGTGGTGCAAAACACAGGCCAAGTTCAAAGGCTTCACACCCTCTCCTTTGTCAATGGAAGGTAAAATACCCAGGGACTGTTACCTCCTGAACCAGGAACATGCTTTCCCTCCCTGTCTGCCACACTGCAGCAGTGGCTGAGTGCTGGCATGGAGGCAGAACAAGCAGCACAAGATGTTTTTAGGGAAGTAGGAGCAGCAAAATCCAACTCTGCTGAGATTTCCACAAGAGATCTCCCCCAATCCAAGACGTTCACGATAAAGGCTGCTGCCCTTCATCCCCTTTCATTGTCACTGGACAAACAGCAAACACATCAACAGAATGATGAGGGCTTGGAAAGGTGCAGGATGAGCACCAGCTGACTTGGAGAATGCACCTGGATGCGATAGATAGGAGCTTATCGGATACACAGAGGCTGCAGCGCTGCAAATGCATTTCTTTTAAAATGTGGTGGGACAGCATTGGTTCCCATTTATGGAACAGCTCCTGCTCCTGCTTGCTGAGTCCACAGATCCCAAACCTGACCAGCTGTCCCCTCAGGAGTGCACCCACGGTGCATGGCATCACCCTGTCCAAGGACAGGGACACCATCCCAAAGCCGTGCAGGGAACCCCAGCTAGCAAATAAACTGGATGCTGCAACACTAAACCCCCTGCCATTCAAAAATCCCTGGAGGAGCAGCAGAATGGAAAGTAATAGGGAATCAACATGGAGAAGGAAGTTCAAAGGGCATCTCCTCCCCTTGGACTGGACCAGAAGTTTCACCACACCAAGGCAGCTCCACACCACCACAACCTCTGAAAGCCACTAAACTATGAGGTGAGGCAGAGCCCAACATCAAAAAGTCACAGCACAGACCTGCCTCAGCTTCCACTTCCCATCCAGCTGTATCCCAACAACTAAAGTGCTGGATAAAACTCCCCCAGATCCTTTTAACTCTGCTCTGAATCCTTCTGGACTGCTACCCTGCTACTATCCCTCCAGGAGTGTTTCCAAGCACCCATTAGCAAAGCCTGGCTCAGGAAGTGAAGCCACCCTGGGAATGGCCCCTCTCCCCTCGCTCCTGCTGCCCTCCCAAGGAGCAACGGGGCTATTTTCTCTCACCATCTGCTTTGCTTCATTAGGTCTCCCTTTATTGGCCAGATGTTCTCGTAGACTCGGAGGCATCCCGACTTTAGTGCTCGCTCTCAGGAGGAATCTGCACGCCTGACTTCTCAGAAATCTCTGGAAGGGAGGGAACAGGCAGACACAGGGCTGGGAGCTAGGAGCCTTTAAAAGCCACACACTTCTGGGAATTCAGGCTGCTTTCCCCCGAGATAGCATCTTCACTGCCAAAAGGGAAGATGTTTTATTTTAGGAGATAATGTTTGCTAGCTGCAGCATGCCACCTCCCTTTTTTATTTTTTCTTACTTTTCATGCCAGCAAAGACAGAGAAGAAGTGAAGGGAAAGAGCAGAGCAAGGAGCAGAGCAGATGGACATGCTGAATTCTTGTTTCCTGTAAGGGTTTGGGTAAACTACAGAGTAAGAATTTAATCACTTGTACCCTGACCCTCCCCACCAGGTTGGGAAGTGGGGGGGTCGGACAGAGCAGCACTAGAACGGACAGATGGACACAGGCCACCCAGCCATGCCCTACTCTCCTCAGCCCAGCTGAGGAAGGCAGAGTGCTCCCAGGGGACTGGCATCACTTCCAAATCACAGAACTATGAAATGGTTTGGGTTGGAAAGCCCTTAAAGACCACACAACTCCAAGCCCCTGCCCTGGCCAGGGACACCTTCCACTAGACCAAATTGCTGACAAAGTCTCTCTGTATTTTTAACTCCCCTCTGAAAGGACAAATTACTAGTAAAGCTCAATTTCTTAGTATAAAACCCCACTTGCTTAAGTAACACCAGTGGTGTTACTTGATTTTAATTAATCCAAATAATTTTGGATTGTCCCCTCCTGGTGCAGCTGCCCTCCCCTAATGCCCCCATACCCATGGCAGGTATGGCTGTGCTGCTTCCCCACCTCTGGAAACACCTGCATGAGCACCAACTGCTGCAATGTAAATTAGGAACCTCAAATAATTTAAGGGGCTTCATATTTCAGACTCCACTGCAGTACAAAGGGGAATGCTCTGTTTCAGTACAATCAACAGACCTAAGGGAGTTAGTTAAATACAGGAAAAAAGGTTTCTGGGCACTGAGAGGCGGGGACCAGCATGACCTCTGTTCGTCCAGCTGTCCTCCTACCAGAGCAGCCTGACACGGTGGGAGGTGAGAGGACCACAACTGAGTTTTAATTTATGTCCAATTAAATGCAGAGAAACAAGTTTCCTTCTTCAGTTCCTCTGGGCAAGAGGTACATCAGGAAAATGGAGGAAATGCAATGTATCATCTGCTGGAGAAGCCATGCCAACAGCTAATTAAAGAAAGCAACCACCAAACAGCAACTGAGCAGAGATTCCTGCAATTCCATCACCCAAACCAGAGGCAGGTCACCGGAGAGACATCAACACAAGGATCCTACTCCAGGAGTTTCACTCCTCCTTTCAGACCCACAGAGAACATGGTATGCCAGAGGAAGGACAGCAAGACTCTGCGGGCCCCCGTTTTTGCCATCCCACAGCAGGAGAGACTGATGAGACCATCGAATTCCCATCACTCTTCCAACATAATTTGCTCAGCAATACAGCTGTCCTTCACCTAAGTCTGCTCAACAGTATTGCCCTGTCCAGCTGGGATAACAAATGAGGCAAGGAGTAGGAGCAACAGCTGAGCCACAGGGCAGCTCACTGTGATAGCAAACAGCAGCTTCATGCCAAACCAGAAGCCACAGGAAGAGCCTTTTTATATCTCACCTTTCCCATCAGGTGGGCAACACCACAGCCCTTTCCATGCTCCCTGAAACACTCCACCACTCCCTGCTGAAACTCCAGCCTGCTGAACCTCCTCCTCCCTGTCCCACACCTCCTCACCTTGTCCCCTTTGCTGTGCTGAGCTGCTGCAGAATACCCAAAAAGCTCTCAGCTCAAACTGGGATGCCCTCATGTCACCTAAGGATCATTAAGGCTTTGAAAAGTACTTTTTGATCAGGAGGATGAAGTTTTGAAGCCTTTGTTTGCCCAGCGTTTTGTGCTGCTTGTGGGAACCAACTCTCCTTTCCTTAGGACCATCTTAAGATCATCTGCACTTCTGTCACAAAGCTGCATGGAAAAGCTGGCCTTGAACTGGCACAAGAGACATGCCCAGATGCAGTAGCAGCAACTAAAAAAAAAAAAATATCAGAAAGAGAAACTTTGGTTTAAAATAAAATTGAAAAGAAAGAAAGAGAGAGAGAAGGTACACATAGGTGCAAGTTGTCTCATGAGAGGGGTATTTGCAGGGTATTACCCCACGACCCTGGAGATGAAGATCTACATTCCCCACTTTGTTTTACTGTTACAACCTTCATTGCACAGGACTCAAAGTCACTCTCATATGATTATTAAGTTTCATAAATAATGTGAAAACTATATGCAACAGATACATCGTATTTCCAAAGAAATTATAAGAAAAGTTACATCAAATTAAAAAGTAGCTTCATGAATGAAGATACTGCTCTAAGTGCACTTTCCCTGCAAGTGCAGCCAGTGCCTCAGCGCTGGATATGACGGAAAAAAAACAACAAAAAAACCCCAACCAAAAAATCAGATTTAAAAACTTAAGTCCGGTTTCAACCAGTCAAAACCGGACCAAGCAGAAACTGAGTGTGCTCTCGGCACTGTCCCATGAGGGAGTTCCTATGATGCTTCGTTATCCAGATAAGGTTTGTATGTCCTTGTTGAGACTGTAAACAATCCTTCTTTCCTGAACTGTCCTCTTTATTGGCAAAACAAAGTAAAATATTTTATTTTTTTGTTTGTTTGTTTAAAATAGAACATTAAAATTAACCCAGAAGAAAAGAAACGAAACACAGTGAGCTTTTTGGAGTCCATAGGATCTGGTCTGGAAGAGCTCGGAAAACGTGTTCAGTGTTTTCTCCTGTTTTCAGCTGGAACTGTACCAGAGATTCGGGTTACTTGGGGAAGAAGGGAACAGAATGAGAAAACAAAGGATGTGGAATAAGAGAACGTGGCCATCTCATGTGTTGACTTCGTTTGCTAGGTCCTCTATCAATACCTTCGTGTCAGAAGCCTTGGACCTGGAAAAAACAAATGGAAAACTCTCACTGGGGAGAAGAAACGCCCCGTTACAACACGCAGGCAGTAAACCCACAGCGCACTTGGGGGAAAATGGGAAAAATAAAAGTCTTTCTTATGCAGAGAGGGAATAAACAAGCTACTGGAACTGTTTCACACTCTCCCACTCCCACTGGGAATAACAGAGCCTTATAAAGATGCCCCAGCTGTCCCTCAGCATCCTCCTCCTGTGGCGCTGCCTATGCCACACCACACCGGCCACCCTGTGCCCACAGCCAGTGTCACCTGCCAGGCTGTGACATCCCATGGCCAAGGACACCGTGGCACTGTTGGGTGTGGAGCATCCATCTGGGCCTCCCCACAAAGCTCCAGCAAACCCTTGCAGTAGAGATCCTGCTTGATCTGCCACTGGGCTGCTCAAAAGAGCAGCAAATTCTTTTTGGGATATGTCACTCACATCTCCATTCACCGTGTGTCTGAGGGGTAAACGGGAATGATTATAGGGAATCTGACCAGGCTTTGGCCCACATCCCTTCTGCATAAAGCTTTTCAGTCTCTAGCAGGCTATTGTTATTGGTCCCATCTGTGTACTTTAGGCCAACACAGATATGAGCCAAGCACAGCCCAAGGGCTGTGGCTGAGGCCAGAGCACACCCTTCTGACAGTCACAGCCTCCTCCTCCTCTTCCCACCCCTCCCATGCAGCGCTGCACAGAGAGATTGCACAACACTCCTGACCCGCTGTGCATTCCCCAGGAGTCCCAGCTTGTTCCCTGGTCAAAGGGTAGGGCTCTGCAGCTGTGCAGCTGGGGCAGGAGGGACACTGGAGTACCCTATGATGCTCAGAGTACAGACACTGCAGGGAAGACAGGCAGTCAACACCTTCAGGGGAAGCATTCGGGGTGTAGGAATGACAGGTGGGAAGAAAAAAATGTAGGGGCTTAGGTCTGAGAGAGGAAGGAGCCTGAAATCTCACGTGAACGTTAACCAAAGGATAACTGGAGCCTTATAGGATTGCAGAATGGTTTGGGTAGAAACAGACCTTAAAGATCATCTCCTTTCAACCCCTCTGCCATAGGCAGAGATGCCACTCACTAGATCAGGTTGCTCAGGTTCCATCCAACCTGGCCTTGGACACTTCCAGGGACAGGGTAGCCACAGCTTCGCTGGGCAACCTGTGCCAGGGCCTCACCATACTCATAGGGAGGAATTTCTTCTAGATATTTAATCTAAACCTGCCCTTAGTCAGTTTAAAACCATTGCCCCTTGTCCTGTCATTATCTGCCTGTATAAAAATTCCCTCTCCCTCCTTGTCATAAGCCCCCAAAATGGTCAGCCGAGAAGAAGAGAGAACCTCTCTTGTAGCTTTGCATTTTTAACCTCTGGCAACTCCTATAGGCTATTTTTGCAGAAGGGGAATCTTGTAAAAAGGGAACTCTCTTTTCCAGTACTTTACCAGAAGCCCAAGATATGTAAAGGATGGATCAATTCCCTGGCAGAGGCACATCTGTTTACTCGTGGGACCTGTTCTCCTTTTTTTTGTTTTGGCTGACATCTTTGCCTGATCCTCAGGCCGTAAGTGGTCCCGAGGCATTAAGAGCAAAGCCAAGACATGATTTTGCTGCATTAGGGAGGCAGAAACGTACTGTGAAGCCAGACGAGGCCTGCGCAAGGACACGCTCAGGCTGCGCTTCCACTGCTTGTTCTTGCGGCGGTTCCGAACTCCATCTTCCTGGTCCATCATCTGATCCAAGAGCGTCAGGTCGTCGGCATTGAGCGGCGCCACGGAGATGTCCCTCACGGCACGGAACTCACCACAGTTGTTCAGGTGCTCATTTTCCAGACGGAAGAAGTTCCACACAAACCGCCTGGATGGAGAAGAAGAGAAAATTGTCGACCGAGTTCCACTTTTATAGGCATTTCCTGTGTTTGGCAAAGCACCTGGATACCACTGACTCTTCTCATGCATCAAAGTGCCTCTGGGAATAGGCTGGGAGCAGAGAAAAACAACCAGTGACTAACAGCAGCACCTGCTACATCTTCCCATCATTCCTTGTCCTAACGATGACAGCATGGAAAGCTAAAGACAACCTCCAGCATCTGCCTGAGTGAGGGTCAGCTTCAAGTTCTTCTCAGGAAGCTGTGGGGGTGGGTTTCCACCTAGAGTACAAGTGTGCAAAGAGCCCTGGGAACCTTGCAGGATCCAAATGGATGATGCAGAACCCAAAGTAGCATTTGGAAAAGCAGGAGAGATTTGAAACTTGGGAATCGAGTGAAATTCCAACTGGAAATTTCAACTGGAAATTTTGAGGAGAAATGTGGTAAAAACTAACCCCCCAAGATTATGTCAAGGTTCAGAACAAACCGCAAGCACAGTGTGAAGGACACAGCCCCACACTGTGGTAGAGCCCTTTACATCTTTCTTTACTCAGCACTCTGTTTGGATTAAATATTCTTGTTAGACCTAGTTTTCCATTTCAAAGTCTGGTATATTCCATGCCCAAGGATCAAGGCACTTTTTCCCCTCATGCTCATGTTACACAGTAAAAATGCAAGAGAGAAACAAAGAGTTGAGTCCAGCAGCCTTACCGGAACACCTCAAGTGGGGCAAATACAGTAGAAATAATGTCCCCAGCGTAGGGAAAGATTTGCATGGAAGTGAGGGAGATCTGGATGGTCCATGCAAAACGCAGGATGACATCTTCTACAATGGCACAATAGTAGTATGCCTGGGGAAAAGACAGGAACAGGACAGCTCATCAGACACGTTTCTGCACGGAAGAGAACTCTTCAGGAAGCTACAGAATTTGCTGCTCGACCTTTAGCAAAGTGAACAGAAATGTTCTGTTTTCAAACAAATCAACTCTACTGCTGGAAAATCCCAGCCTGTAGCACGCAGTGGCCAACTGCAACATTCTCTAAACTCGGCAAGTTTGGCTAAAATATGAAAAGCTTTCCTAGCGTAAGAGCAGGCTGCATACGCACTTTCTGTGGGTAGACAATTCCTTCTCGGAGAAAGGTGTTTTCACCAGCATTTTTGTCAAAGAGACCCCAGTCCATCTTCAGGTCCCAAATGAGCGTATAGCACGAGCTGATGAAACAGAAGATAATCCACAGGTAGAAGAACACTTGGGTGTCACTGTGGTTTTTAGCTGGAAAAGAGAAGAACAACACACTCCTGTAGAACTGAAAGAAGGTTGCTTCTTAAACCAGCTACTAACTGAGCAGTGGAAATCACACCCCTTTTATCCAAGCTCTGGGAAAACCCAAGGAGCTAATCTCAACCAAACCAAAAACCTTACCAGGACCTACTTTATATTGTTATTTAAATTCCACTTTCATCTCGTTCAACATTTTGCACTTGGGACTGAAATTTGGAACAGGCTCCCCAGGGCAGTGATCACAACCCCAAGGTTCCCAGAGCTCAGGAGTGTTTGGACAATGCTCTTGGGCACATGGTGGGACTCCTGGGGTGTCCTGTGCAGGGCCATGAGTTGGACACGATGATCCTTGTAGGTCTCTTCCAACTCAGGATATTCCATGATCTTGCACTTGTGGCAGAGCTGCCATTCTGGCTCTGAACAGCAGGTGGAAGCTGAGTACCACATTTTGCAAAGGACACGGGCTTGTGTAAAGGATACAGCAATGAGGCAATGCTCAGTCAGGAGGGTTCAGTAAGAAAATACTTGAGTTTGTATAAACATAAACAACTGTGAATTAGTGCATTAAATGCCTGGAAGAGCATGGGTAGTACAGGAATTACTATTGGCCATTTCAGAGGTTGTGGTGGCAAGGGAAAATAAGCAAGAAGTAGAAATACATTAACAAGTATGTATAAATCCTGAGGCAGGCTCTGACTTTTAAATACCCACATAGGGCTCCTCTTTGGAAACGGGACTGTGAGCCCACCATCTGCTCACCTCAGATATGTTTTTTCAACCAAGTTGTTTCCCATTTCCCTCCTGAAAAGGTTATGCTGCTTTCAGTTCAGCTACATTTCCCTACATCAGTTGGCTGGGGAAAAACAAAACAGATCTGATAATTCTGTTTGCTTTCAGAAAGATGGCTCATAAAATTCACACAAATAAAACACATTGTGATGCTTTGGAAGGCTGAGACACTTTGCATCTCATTGCTAGCAGGAGTCTCCTCCTTTGGCAATTGCCCATTCACTGATTCCCTCTAACAAAGCAAATAACACATAAAAGGCATAATGTTTTCAGTCCAAACCCGATGCCACAGCAAGTGACAGCACTGTTTTCCATATATGTGTCTTTAAAACAACAGAATCTCCGATGCTGATCACCGAGGGAGCAACAGGGCAATCTGCTCTCCCCTTCCCTTTGTGTTTCTAACAACTGCAATCCAAATGTAAGGCAGCAATCCGATAAAATTAACGGAGGTGAAAATGAGAGGCATCGTTCCTCCCATTATCCCTTTCAGGCTTCCTGGACATTACGTGCAGGATATAGGTCAAACACACACGCTCCTTCTCCACTCAAAACACACCCCCTAAAGCAAACCTATTAACGGCGCTTATGCAGCAAAGCCTGTTCTGCACCGAAGCTGCACATCAGTGGAGGGGAAGGACACAGGATCGCTGCAGGTCTCAGGTTTAACCAGCTTCCCTGCTTCTGGGCAAGGCTGGGAGCCTTTGGGCAGTGCCCCACGTCCTCGGCTGTACCCAGGGACAGGTCCAGCACCGCATCCCTCCCGCTGCAGAGCCATGACGTCACCAGGAGCAGCGCACAAGTCCTGTGGAACACGGGCTCGGATGCCCAGGTACGTTAACGCTGCTGCCTGGAAACCATCTCCCCAGCTATTTTTAAAGTGCCGCTGCCCACAGAAGGGGACACAGGTGAGGTTTTTGGAGTTTAGCAATGAGGGCTGTGCTGCGAAGTTTCATTCTCCCCCATCAGCTTCTCCAAAGCCTCCACTACATTATTTCAGGAAGAAAAGCCAGATGCTGACATTCGGTGACTCAGAGACACTAAGCCTGTTCTTTCCAGCATTATTTTTAGCTCATTAGATCTCCATGTTTAGTTCCCACTACCAGATCCTAAAGGATAATTCAGAGGCAGTTAATGGGTGGTATGTGCTTTCTTAACACCTAAAATGCCCCAAAGCATCCTAAGAAGCTGCGATGCTTCCTATTACCTGAGTCTTGCAGGTTAGTTACATGATGCTGTTTTGTATTTGGTTTGGGGTTTTTTTCCCCTTAATTCAAATAAACTGAGTCTTACTCCACACCCCCAGAGCAGTCATGGAGAAGACAGTGCAGCCAGTCCCACCCATCACCATGCCTTCAGCCACATCCCTGTTGATGAGCCATGCCCTGCAGATGCAGGGAGAAGAGCAGGGAAGTGGCACTGCTGGGTGCTCCTTCAGAGTTCTGCAGTCTGGCCCCTGACTATCATCTCAAACTATGTAAGGGGCTAACAAAACTGTATCCTAAGTTGGCAATTACATGGGAAGGGGGGATTTCAAAGGATCTTGCTGCTTAAACCTAAATCATGGAATGGGTCAGGTTGGAAGGGACCACAGTGGGTCACCTCGTCCAACCTCCCTCCTAGGGCACATGGCACAGGTTCTTGCATGCAACTACAGAAAGGTGAACTAGGAAGAAAAAGACCCAATTGAGAAATTTTATGGCATCAACCTCACCAATCTCTAAAGGATATGTGCATGCTTTCAGTTAGGTTACCCCAGTCTCAGCTCCCTCTCCCTGCTTCTGGCTCTGCACCAGCCTTTTCAGTGGCACCTGGGGTCACGCTGTGGCCCCTTGCTCCTGCTTGCTCTCTCACCAACCCACTCTGCAACGCATTCAGTTCCTGAAAAAAAATTCATTAAAAACCCAAATCACTCCCTAGTAAAATGCTCTAATCAGAACCAGCCTATTGTCTTCAGCCCCTGCCTCCAAGTCCCTTCCTTTAATCACTATCCTCCTTTTTCTCCTGCCTGCAGTTCTGTTTGATACCTTCCTTCCTTCTGTCCTCATTGGTATTCAGCTGGTGTACAGAAATATGTTACTGCTCCAGGCAAGCAATTATAGCTTGGTCTCTGCTGGCTGGTCCTAGCAGCCCTCTTCACTGCTGCTCAGGGGAGAGAAAATCAAGGCATTCATATTCTGCCCAGAGGCTCCATCAACTCCTGGCCTGCAGGTTTTCCAGAAGCAATACAGAGCTCTGCATATGTATAATGATGTCAGGGTCTATTTAAGCAGGAACTGTTTCATCCTGTGTTTTTTCTTTGTTTAATGATGTGCTAGAAAACACCAAAAACCATGAGAGAAGGAGATTCTCAGGATGAGAGAAGCGCTCTGGACACCTGGCAGATCTCAACCTTTCCAAGAAAGAAAAAAGAGCAAGTTTTCAACATTCCATGGACTGCAGCAACCTTTTGGCAGCACCACTGCCAGTCCAGCCAAGAGGGGCACAAAGGACCTTCCTACTTGATGCTCCAAAGGGCACCACCACGGAGCAGCTTCCTGAGCTACAGTTATTCAAAGCAGCACGAGCAGGACAAAACACCACCAGCACAAAACCTCAGCGCATGAAGCTGCAGGTGCAGCTCTAAACCTGAGGATGGGATGATTTCAATGTTCACACTACCATGCCTGCAACTGGTGTTCAGTTATGTCAGAGGCTCTTTGAGTCCACAGTGCCCTGCTGTCTCCACTTGCCCCAAGGTCAGTGGGAAGCAGCGAACCACGGGAGCTGTTTGCAGCCTTCACCACAATGTTTCCATTAGCATCCTCAGTTTACCCTATAAGAGGCTATTCCAGTGGAAACTGCACAAATACACCTGCAAATTGCTCCAGAAGGTCAACTAGATAAATAATGGATGGCTTCCACCTTTGAACTGAAGCTGTGAATGGCCACAGTTCCAGAAAACAACCAAAGGTACTTGCAGCAGCAGAATTTACTGCCTGAAAAAACTGCTGATAGACAGTATCTTGGATCCCCAAACCAGCCCTAGGGACCACAGTATCTGACTGGCATTCTGAGGTAATACTGCTCTGTAGGAATTACTGCCCCTTCGAAACACAGGCAAGAGAAAAGGCTGCTTTCCATCAAAGGGAGACTGCAAATGTTATTCTGAATGCTCTTAATATTGACTTTACTTCCAAAGAATACTGTCTGTTTACCCTGCTGAATTATTCCCAAGAATGTAAACACCATATAGTATTCAACACAGCAAAAATCAATGCCATGTATTATTGAAGGGTTGGATAAGAGCACAATGGCCCTCGATATGCATTCCTGGTGTGTCAGCCTTCGTGGCTGGCTGTGGTCTGTGCTGATGGGGAAGGCTGTGATAAAAGCTGTAGGAAGCCGGAGGTTATCAGGGTAAGCCAGGTAAGCCCTGATACGTATCAGGCAACACCGACCCAGCCACTGCAGCTCTGCCAGCTAAAAACCTCTTGGTCCAGGCAAGCCAAGTTCAGCCCCACTTGCAGATTTAAGCAGAAGTAAAGCACAAATAGATATATTTTACAGTGTGCGAGGCAAGACACTGGAGCACTGAGCCGGCCTGGGGATGATGTGTGCTCATTAACTCCATCCCAGCATACCGCAGGAGCGAGGTGACAGCCAGAAGTGACTTATCTACATAATACCTGCCATCAGAGTGACACCCCAAAGCATTTGTCTAACACCTCACTGCTCCCAGCACAGCATTAGAGCTCCATCAGTAATTAGATGTCTTAATGAGGGGTGAGCAGCAGCGCTGCCTTTCTGCCCAGCCAGCACGTCCCACCATTTAATGCTGATCAATGGCAGAGCCAGGACGTGACAGTGGACTTAATGCAGTAAAATGCCAAATAATCCATGGGAGCACATGGAGGACTTGCCACCGTGTACTGACAGGCTTTGCCAAGTCCTATTTTGCAGGAAGAACCTCCCACTGGATTGTGCAAACCTCTGCGATTGCCTCCAGGCACAATTTAAAGCAAGGCAGCAAAACACAGCACAGTGAAGAACTGTCAGGAGGCAACATCTCATTTCTTCTTCATTTGTAGAGCAGGGAAATCCCCAAATCATGTTTGGACTAAAAATCCTCTGCAGGTTTGTAGGACAATACAACTGTGTCTAATTTCAAGACATGGCAGCAAACTCACGGCTTTTACCTCACAAACAGACAAGCGTGACTT